TCTTGTGTACTAACCAATTTGTTAATAACAAAAAAAGTAGCACCATTTTAAAGATTAAACTTTTAACTTTAAATTGATACCAAATTCATTTAAATCACACCAGTATTTAAAAAGATATCCCGGCTGATGTGAAGAAGTAAGGAAAAAGACATGAATCAACTGTTTGATACGTCGCGAGTTGCGGCCTATTTACCCCCCATAAAAGCAAGTGTTTTCGGATTTTTGCTTTCACACGTTGATCCATACACATCTCCGCTTCTTTTGACACTTTACCTGGGATTCTACACCTTCAGAAGCAGCACATATCGTTGCACTATTGCAAGAAGGGCTCAGCCAGCGGGCTGTCGCACGTCAGCTCCACATAAGCCAGTCCTGGGTTTCGAAAGTTTTAAGACGCTTTCGGGAGACTAGTGGCTTTATCCCGAGACCAAGTTCTGAACATTGCCGGTGCACATCGCAGAGGGAAAACCGTTTTTTCATGTCAACTTCTCTACGAAATCGTCATTTGACTGGTATCGACGTCCAGAAAGAGCTCAGAAATGTTCGTAGGATAGCTGTTAGCCAGTGGACAGTTCGTCTAAGATATGAGCAATAAAATTTGACTTCAAAAAGGCCTGCCACAGGCTGGAAACTGACGGCAGGTCACCCACAAGCACGCTTTCAATTAGCTCGCACTCGAAAGGCGAGTAATGGAGGCGAGTTTTGTTTTCCGATGAATGCAGACTGTTTTTGCAGTGCAGCAGTCGAAGAGGTCGGGTCTATAGACGGCCTGGGGAGCGATTTGTGCAGTGCTGGTTCGCTAAAACATTGGCTTATGGGGGTGGCTTGCTCGACTTCCCATCGAGATGTGTAGGAGTAAATTGAAAGCGTGCTTATCGGTGACCTGCCGTCAGTTTCAAGCCTGTGGCAGGCCTTTTTGGAGTCAAATTCTATTGTTTATATCTTAGACGAACTGTACACTTGCTAACAGCTATCCTACGAACATTTCTGAGCTCTTGCTGGACGTCGATACCAGTCAAATGACGATTTCGTAGAGAAGTTGACATGAAAAAACGGTTTTCCCTCTGCGATGTGCACCGGCAATGTTCAGAACTTGGTCTCAGGATAAAGCCACCAGTCTCCCGAAAGCGTCTTAAAACTTTCGAAACCCAGGACTGGCTTATGTGGAGCTGACGTGCGACAGCCCGCTGGCTGAGCCCTTCTTGCAATAGTGCAACGATATGTGCTGCTTCTGAAGGTGTAGAATCCCAGGTAAAGTGTCAAAAGAAGCGGAGATGTGTATGGATCAACGTGTGAAAGCAAAAATCCGAAAACACTTGCTTTTATGGGGGATAAATAGGCCGCAACTCGCGACGTATCAAACAGTTGATACATGTCTTTTTCCTTACTTCTTCCCATCAGCCGGGATATCTTTTTAAATACTGGTGTGATTTAAATGAATTTGGTATCAATTTAAAGTTAAAAGTTTAATCTTTAAAATGGTGCTACTTTTTTTGTTATTAACAAATTGGTTAGTGCACAAGATCGCGTGGAAACAACTTCATGTAAGTGATTCCATACTTTTGCTCGCAAGTGTATTATTATCACTCTTCTATTAGATGTTGGGATGATTAGAAACATGGTAATATTTTAGGTATTGTCTGTAAATCATTTGCAATAATGTAAGATATTTATGTCCCGTTATATCTTGATCAATACTCCATAACAAGTAGGTAGAAATCATAATGTAACAATGCAATTTTTAATGTAAAGTAAAGCAAATCCCGCTCTACATTGGTGAATTAATAGCACATTACATTGTATTTTATGCATTTAATTGGAAAATGGAAAATAAGTTCAATAATTCTATGAATGAGCAATTTTATTGTTCCATTGTCTAAAACCAAAAAAGTAATTTCATCCAATTAAGTAAAGCTCTCCAACTTTTATTTGGTTCGCTTCACACATAAAGGCTGACGAACATTAATTAGTCTATATCTGGAAACTAGGAGGGCAGCGTAAAAAGTGGATTAACGTTAGTGTGGGCTGAGGAGCACGTAGCATAACCGGCGACTGTATGCGCAGGAGTAATTTCCACGGCGCCAACGTCTGCGGAGTTTTTACACACATACCAATGCATTTACAGATAATGTTTTCGATTTTCATTCCATGATTTTATTGTTTTACTCATGAATACAAGATTAACCAATTATATTTTTTATTGCTCTCCTTTTTTGTAGAAATTGGAGGGAAATTAAATTCATGATATTCATGACACGATAGAGTTTATTGAAATAAACCATCTAAGTTATATGCTTATAAATAATGAAGTACGTGCTAAGCGCCACATTAAAATGAGTTTTCTTGTCTTCATTCGCATTTGCGATTATCAAATGACATTTTAAGTGTTCACATTAGTGTCAGCTGTTTTTTAGTTTGCTATTTAATGCATTTTAAAGTTCTTATTCAAAACTTGTTTAAGGCATCACCTGAGTTTATCTCCGTATGTCCTCAATCGTGGAGTACTCTAAATCTCTATTATCTGGTGTTGACGCAGAGGAGACTGAGTCTAGGTCATACGTCATTATAGCCACCACGATTCGGGTCAGCACTGAGATTAGACGATGTATACAGAGAGATCTTCGCTGATAACGCGATTATATCACGATAACGGAAAACTATCGCGCGATTTAGTCTTCTGTTATCTTCATTATTTTATCTACTTAGTTAATACGTAAAATTTTCTCGTAGCTTTCATACATGCGCATGGTTTTTCAAAATTAATATTAAACTTGGTCTTCAACGAACATTGTTAAGTATATGAAATAAAAATCTCAATTTATTATTTATACAGAAGTGTAATGTATATTTTACACAATTAATTCGTTGCCATGTGCTCGAAGTATATCTACCTAACTACTTGATAAACTTTTTTTAAGTTACGATAATGACGTTATAAATTGATTCAAGTGTTTGAAGCATGAAAGATCTAAAGTTGTATTTTATTGTAAGAAGATAAACTAACAGGTGTTCAAGGATAGCACGCGGTGTACATATTGGCGTCTCGCGCCCCTATTGTAATGAAAGTGATTTAATATGTATACTTATTCAATCGCACATTTAAATTACAAAGCAATAATAAAATCGAATAATTTTTATTTTACTCATAAAATGACTCCAAATTACAATGGCCATAAAATGCAATAGTTCATTACATTAATGACAAAAATAACAAGAAGTCTAACAAACCTTTGTTTCGAGTCATAAAGCAATGACTAGAAAGAAAGCAATAAACCGTCTGAGTAAACAGTAAAAACAATCTGTGATGGCGCCACTCGTCTCTTTCTTGCATTTGAGGTTCTATTCTGGAAAACGTTTCGTCTCTACTTATTGTAGGATTCATGGTGTGAGTGAATAAGACAGATAGCTGATGTATCGAGTCAGTTTCCGGAGTAGACCCCCTTGCTCTTGAGGAAGCAAACAAAAACAAAGCGGCATTGTGGGGCCATTGCCGGCGCCCGTCTTATCGCCCCATCGTATCCACGTGCCCGCACTACCTTCGCCCTCTCATCATTCTTCCTAGAACACATTCCGGTCCCACAGAAAAAGGGTGCGTTCCTTTTACTTTTTGAAAAAGAACGTCTGCTTGTTTTGAATTTTTTACGCCATTCTACGAAAATTGTTGTCGATTAAACATTCACTTTTATGTTTCATTGTTGATATCGAGGTAATGTATGCCGTATTTAATTAAAGTGCTTATCAAAACAGGCTAATGTTATGTCGTGAACTAAAAACTACACGCTTCATTCAATGTCGATAAGGTAGCGTGTTAATTTCCAAGGAAATTATACTTTTCAACCGTCTTGTGCTAGAAAACATGTCAAATCAACACCCTGTATACGAGCAAGTCAGCAACTGTCAATCATTCTTGTTAAAGCCTGTAGAAAACATCGCCATATAAAGAAGGAAAACCCGGCAGCACATTTCATATATATATATATACATATATACATATATACATACATATCATATATACACACAATATCCACCATGATTGTGACGTCACCGCATTCGGTATCACATCTGTTTTTAAGGTAAATACAGCCAATGTCAAAGTTATCACTATGTTAATTTGGTAAATTGAAATTATTATAATAAATTAGTGTATTAATTAAAATTTAATAAACGCGTGGGGATTTTGAAAAGCGTTAACTCATAATCTCCCTGGCCGTGGTGTCATGTCGTAAAGTTTTACGTAGCGCACGATTATTAAGGTACACTTTGGAGATAGTACATGAGATAAATTATGTAACCATAGCTCCTCATTCAGCTAACGCTGCCTGACTCAACGGTCGTTTCCTGAATAGTTTAAATTTCAATACCAAATTTGTCTCGTGGTTAGGTTTACCCTTTACGAGTATGTGGTGAAATTAGTAACTACAATTAATTTCCTATTGACGTTAGTTTATTCGTCATAAATAATTTAAAACCAAAATAACCATTAGAATAAATACAACTTCCTTTACGACCTATTATTACTTTTGTCGTGTCAGTCAACCGGACCACCAGAATAGTTCTTCAAACGTAAAACCTAGACTGATGATGGAGAAATAGAGGTATTGTACTAAAATATTAAACTTTTATTTATTTCTTTATTAATTAGGGAAAAAATCAATTTTGATCGTTATAATTATTCATATTTTTAAACATTATTGTATACCTCCGCGTTTACCAACTTCGCTTGTCGTTCTATCATTCTTAAAATACTGACTAAATGAGACAGGGTTATTCATTTGTATCAAAGTTGCGTGAACGCGACCTTGTCTTCGAAGCTTTTGATTGGAATCAGAATTTTTAATAAGCGCCCACCGTACTAATCATGTTGGTTTATTTACCAATCACAAAGTTATCGTTACTTGATGTGACAGTTGTCAGTTTTTCACACTTGTAGATCTAATTTGTGTTTCCTCGATGTTTTTGTAGTGTGTACTTGTCTAAAGTGAACTTTGTTTTTGTTTCAGATCCACTATAATGAAATTTTACCAGAGTGGAAGAAAAATTATATATTCATCGAACTACAAGCATAAAATATAAACAGAAGCAAATTATTTCCTCAATTTGATATCGAAGTGAAAGTGTTATGTTTAATTCATAGTGACTGTTAAAAGGGTATAAACGACCCTGTGAGGACAAAAATGGTTGTTAGTGACTGTTGGGTGCTCAGAAATATGGATGTCCGACATTCAATATTCAAACTTTTATTATTCCAAATTTTGGTGGCGTGGTGCAGCGCGAAGCATGTCACGATAGAAAATAACCTACCGAGAGTAGAGATTCTATCGAACGATGTAGAAAATGATGTCCAGGATAGTATAAGAAATTTATTACACAATGGTAAGTAACTTTTTGATTTAATTTAGCTAAGATTCGACATGCTTAATCCTGTCGTAATTTTTAGCAACGAAAAAAGTTGCATGATACTCGTACCTTGATGGTGTCAAAAGATCTTAACATTAAAATATCGTATTTAATCAAAGATGACAGATGAAAAGGGTACCATATCGTGAGTCCGAGATAAATAAAATGATTTTAGATATTGTAACTTTACCTAATCTGGTGTCGGTTATAGTAGATGTCACGGTTTGAAAAGTTGATAATTGGATTCGCATTTTGTGACAGGGTGGGATTGCCGGGAACGATAAGTCTCATCAACTTCTTAATTATACTTTATTTTATTACCGTTAGTGAAGCTTCAACCGTCGGCAAAGTTCTTAGGCAATGTGCAAGCTCGAACTTTCGGGTCGAGCCACCAATAATAATTTCGTAACTCATATAATTTACGTCCTGTCCTTTCACCCTTAATTTTTATTTTGCTGTCTTCAAACGTGTACCTACATTATAACTTAAATATTATGTAATGCTACTGAACACATAAACATGCAATTATGGTAATTATCATTCACTACCAACGAGTACTGACCACCCAAGGAAGCGATCTGTCGATTGAGATTTTTAAAATTATATTTTTATTTTGATTTACTGGCTGTTCTAAAGAGTTGAAATATAACACCCTGAACTATAAAATTACATGAACAGAGTTGGGTTACCGTTGCAAGTTTACGCACGTAGGTCTTGTAGTTCATGGTATTGTAATATTATTACATTTTATGATAATTTAAATAGTCAACAGATTGCATTATTTTATTTTAAAAAGCTTACAAATAAACATTGCGCAACATAGTATTGATTGTACAATTTTTGCTAGATGATTTTCTAAAATAAAACGCTTAAGTAAACTTATTCCAATTTTTGTCAAACCTTAGAAAGTTTAATTTCATTTCAATAAACTGTTTGTATTGTAAAGTATTAAAAAGAAAAATATTTAAATAGAAATTCGTGAGTGAAACGGCAGTCGGACTCTACTACATTCGTAAAAAGATTTAGTCTCGTAGTCGATAAAAAGTGAATTGAATTGAATTGTAAAATTGGTTACGCAGAACTGTGACGAGTTAAATAACCATGCTAACCAAACATTTTTTTGGGGTCACTAAAAGTAAGATCGGCTTTACAAGTAGCAGCACCAAAACACGTATCTGAATAAATCAATAAATAGGTAATAGTAGCAGTATTTCTACTACCTCTCAGTAGATCAAACTTTATCGGAGCTTTAGAAATGGCAACCCGTTTGGGGCCATCATAATAAGTCATTGGGTGCAATTGTCAACGAAACCGCTCACAAAATGGAGCAATGAAACCAATAACCGTAAAACGGCAATCGCTGGCAGGATTTACAAAACAAACCTATTATGCATTTGAGTCGACACGGTCGTCGAACTTTGCTTCTAAAATTGATCCAGGACTGCGGGGCTGAATTCATGGCATATTATTTCTGTGCGTTTATCTCATCACTCAAGTAGTCAATAGTCCCTGCTTGCTTTGATTAGATCTTTGTAGAGCATGCCAACTAATTTTGTATTTTAGTATCTTCAATTTCAGTCTTCATAATTCTGCAAATGATATTCTTTGAATTAATATTTTAAAACTTGACAAATGTTCAAAGACCTGTAATTTTACTCTAACCTAACCTCATCTCTCATTATTGAACTAGCCTATCTGGTGAATACATAATAACGCCAAAATTTATCTCAGTGTAAAGTGTAACGATTCTAATTCTCTTATCTAGTTTCAATATTTGTAAAGTGAATCTTATCTGTAGTGCGAAAAGGCGCGAAACTGTTGCCGCGGGTGACGTGTGTACGTGACGTAGCTGTCACCTGCCAGGTGATATTGCGGAGCGTCTAGCTTGCGTCGCGTGCGCATGTCGTATTTGCGTGTAGCCAGTTTTATGCAGTCTTTTTATTATCACTTAATTTTGTTGAAAAATAATACCTATTACAACTGCATAACGGCATCTGCTTCCACTGTTTAGTGATGCGCTGTCGTCTGTACTTTACTACAGCCACAACTTGCTGTAAATTAGTCTGAGATGTTTGCAAGGGTTTACGGTCAGGAAGTCCTTTAGTCACAAAGCAAACTTCACGCATCACTAACATGTAACACATCACGCATAATATCTCAGTTTACTCGCTGCGATGAAAACAAATAGGTAGAGTCACTTCGCTACTACTCCAAGATACGAGCAAATTAACTAAGTGATCTCAAGTGATTGTTTTCGAAACAATTATTAGGTATAGACTCTTAATCAAACTTATGTTAATGAACGTAAAAGATTGTCCATAAAACATTAAACGCTATTTATTACATTAAGTAATCGTCGTAAACTCTTCGCCATATAAAATTAATTGCATTTTATAAAAGACTACTCGTAAAAATTGCCTAAGGTAACATAACTTTGAATAACATGAATGAAAATGTAAGAGACTACCTAAAGTGTGGTTATTATGAGTCACCTTGACCAAAGACCCGAGCCATCGCAATAATGAAGATGATTATTGCAGACTGAATGTAGAAGCGTACCGTCTTGGCTTGAAGAATACCAGCAGACTGGTTCCTATCCGGCATTGGAACGTGATAAATAATTAATTCTATTAGATTAGTTATTATAGCCACAGGGGTTCTCCGATAAGGACGATCGAATACAATGAAAAACTATTCAAATGTTATTCTGGTCTAATTTTGACTCTAAACCTTTGTAGTGTTTAATAGGATTAAAATCGAACTAATCATTACAAATGCGGGTTTAACCAGCGCATCCTTCCTCATTATCGATAAATTATCTGGTAACAAGTGCGGACCATAAACCAGTTCGAAAAGGTTTCTTACTATGTACGGCAACGAAATCGCTATTCATACAGCTTAGATGGCTCTATGGCACGACAGCAATCATAGGTCGGGTCATCAGGCAGGCAGAAAAAATGCGGCCTAACCGCGTGCCGGAATGCCGGGGAAACATAAATATGTTAATAGACGAACAAATGAATAAAAGGACAAGGATGTGGCAGTGGAACTAATATGGGTGTGAAACTCTTAACCGATGGGCACGACATATCATTAGTACATAATCGTGAGATTGACGATTCTCGATTTGGTCTGAAGCTGTAGCGTCAGGAAAGAAAGCTAATGAGAATATACTGACTTCTATTACTTATACACTATTCATATCTCCCTTTCAGTAAATCGATAAACTTGGTTGCTTTTATGTGAATGACACGAGAATAAAGCCACCAGTGAGTGTCATAAGTATTAGTTATTATTATTTACCTTAGGTAATCTATTTACTATTTAGTACGGTAAATAAGTACGACTACTCATGTACTACACATTTAATGTCTTAAGGCCGTCAATGAGATTGTAAAGTAGTTGCAAAACAGAACTATAAAACTTGTCATACAAATATTAGAAACGTGCGAAGTGTTTTGACCCTCATTACTACCACTTGTCGGTCCGTGACATTCGTAGCGTAACAATCGTAACTAATGCTCGCACAAAAAACGCCTGTCAATCCGATATGAGAGTATGAATCCCAAAATAGACTGACTAAAAAACGTTCTCACTAGTTTAGAAATCCAATTGGCCAAGTCAAATAACTTTTGTCTTAGAATAAAACAGTTCACGTAAATGTTGTATAACTTCTGTTTCACAGACAATATCGCGTCTGAAATTTGAATAAGTGGCCTAAAGAAATATAGAGCCGGTATAACATTACGGACAGAAATGGAGTTTGTTTAATTATTCATTAGAAACGGATTGGGTTGCATGTACTGCGTTGATTAACATTTAATACGTTCAGTTGGATGTATGGTCCACCCACGCGGGGTTCAGTCGACTCTCGCGGCAGGGGGCGGGAGCCCTGGTAATCTCCGGTAATGGCTGCCATGCCTCTAGAAGCAACAGCCAGCATTCGTCTAGGCGGCCCACGCTGTGTCACAAAAACCTACACCGAGCTAGCTCCATAAATGTAAATGATTTTAATTGCTCATCGGAAGTACCAAACTCACTGCTCTTGTTTTCTGTCGTAATAAATGATCTTCTTACTCGTAACTTGTCATTTAAGGGATTTTGTTATCATTTCCGCTGTGCCTCCAAAGTAACTGTTAATCATTTCCGTTTATCCTGCTCATTTCATGTTAGCGTAATTTTCCCTAGTTATCTACGTGGTGCCACTTATGTTTACCTAACTATTATAACTGACGCAGACACGTAGATAAAGTGATATCGGCGGATATCGGACATAAAAACAGATTCTGGTTCATTTATCATGAGGCCAGCGTGAGCCAATAACTCCGGTGGAAAGATGATTTCGCCCTATAAGTAGCGATTCTAAGAACCGAACGGTTAATAAACGAGTTGTGGCTGGTTTATTGCAGTTTTTACTTTAATTAAATCGATTTATGTATGTGACAAATATGGTTGAAGAAAAACATAAGTAGCGAGTGGACCCTGTGTGGCCTTACTAGTCAGCGGTGTCGTGTGACTAGCGCCTGCTGACCGCGCTCACAGTTTCTTGTGAACCGTGTGTGATGATAACCTATGATTATCAATGAAAACAAAACTAATTACTAGGAAACCTCCGCGGCGCATGGTTACCGCGACGGCTCCATGGCGCCAGCGCTTTGTCAAACGTGTCGTAAGTTGATGCCCGTGTATCTGACTAGACTATAGCAATGTTCTGCTTTACATTTTATTTAGATTACTAGGAAACTACTCGATAATCTCATCTCAATATACTCGTACTTTAACTTTACGCTCTGAGGATTTCGTAGCAGTACTTATTTCTTCAACGTTCCTACTATGTATGAACTATGTCAAATTCAAAAGCAAACTTTACTGAAAGACAAGATACTCATAGATACTCGTTGATCTTATCGTAGATAGACATAGAAATGATTGTATAGATGAGGTACGGTAGAACCAAAGTTGTGACTCTACCAAAATCGGTGCTACGTGACGGTACCTTAATTTTATTTCCACGATCGCGTTGTAACCAACGCCTTATGGAAGATAGTACCCGAAAATAAATCTAATGTTTCATTACAAACAGTGATGTGTGCTGTGTAATCGCTGCTATCAGTACAATATATAATTAGAGCGATAATGACACGGCGGTGTGCGCCGGCGCCGCGTCTGGCGCCAACTGTAGGGCGCAGGGCGTGACATTGACCCTCAAAATTACAGCCACAATCGACGCATTGTTGCAGTAACATCATTGAATACAAAAAACGCTTTAAAATACATAACCTTTCTACCTCCCTGATAAAAAATCTGGATTGAGCGTTTGAGTTAAGATTTTGACGATGAGAGAATTGCAAAAAAACAATTGCAGAAGTTGTGTCATTACTTTTGAAAATATGATGACTACTATAAAAATAGTGAGCTACTTAAAGCTCCTAAAGAGATAAGACTTCATTGCATGAAAAATCCTTCTAAATAAATTATTTAGCTCTCGATAAGCAGTAATACAAGTAATACATTGAACTGGTTTCGATTTTATTTATCACTTTATATCCTGATTAAGATACAAACAACATTAGAAAATGTGTAAAGGCTTTAATGGAATATTCTATTAAAATGGTTGGAATTGCATCTAGTTCTAGAGCTCTACATTACTTTATAAACGAATTTTGCTGCAATTTTGTTTCACAAATTGCAAATGTTAAAACTAAATTACTACTGATTTCAAAACTCAGGTTACTGATTATTTTCGTACTGTGACAATTAAATGAGACTGACCAGGCCCCACAATCTCATTGTAATGCTTATTGCATTATGAATCGTCATTATTTTATTTTTGTTCGTGAACCTCTAATAAATACTCGTGACAGCCACAATATGAAATGATCGAGGTTCTTTTGTTAGGGCTTTAAATTGATATTGGCCCTTGTAAACATGTTATTAACAATACTGATTAAATGAAATACAAGTTCATAAAGATAAATCAAACGATATTTATCTTAGATACTATTGAAGATGTATTTCGAGGAAGTCGGTGTTATTCATACATAATAATTAATTGTTCCACTACACAATCTAATCTGGTTTACTTAAGGTTTTCCCGAGAGCAATTCGTAGTAAAGTTTATACTTTGTGTACGAAAAAGTGTCTCACTATGCTAAAAATATCTGAGTATTACGTAAAGGAATCATATTACAAAGATGGTGTGATGTTCTAAATTTTGTGACAAAGCAATTTTAAAGAACACGCGTATGGACCGACTTTATTGACTAGTTTCAGCATAATTTTGTTATTAACATGTCAATGCTGATCAGTCAGACACCAGACAGTTTCACTATTCGTAGAATGCATACTAATAAAAGCTGAATAGGCGGTGAGAAAAATGTATTAGCCACTTAAGTAATCAATAACTTAACTAAGCATATTTTCATTTCCGATCGATCTCAATCCAATTTGTGCGCAGTCATGACTGATAAAATATGTTGAAATTAAAATGGCAGTTGACTATCAAAATCAATTAATTAGACTGATAACAATCAAAGCTGGTTTGTATGCGTAAGTGCATTGAAACTTTTTCTCTATTGTCCCCAGGTTTATATTCTCATCAGCATTTGAACCCATCAAGTCTACAAGTGACGACGCCGGTGAAGGTGACGTATGAGGGCGAATTCGTGTCGCACTCCCTGGACCACGAGCATCCGCACGGGCACGCGCGCGCGCGCCGCGACACGCACGAGCGCGGCCTGCCTCATGACCTGCACTACAACCTCACGGTCGACGGCCGGGACCTCAGGCTCGACCTGCGGTGAGTTAAGCCTCCTCTTTATCGATTGGTGCAAGTACAATATGCGGAAAATTGAAGTACGAAGCGCGAGCCCGAATACCGAAGTATGGACGACACACGGCGAAACTAACCGAAGTGCATGCTTACACTAATGTCTCGATCAAATTCGCATAGTGTACTTGCGCCATATAACTAGGTGATGCATGAGGCCAGATTCGTACACTGGTAGCTTTAAAATCATCTGCTTGGACACACGGCGCTTGCTACGAGACGCATGAGCGCGGGTTACCTTATGACCTAACTCTCTCTCTCGATCAGCAGTGAGTGACGACTCCACTATATGCCTAAATGTTACACATGAGACCACATGAGCTGCGACTGCAAATTCGGGTATATTCTATGAATATTGTTTTTCCGAAATTGTCACCCAGTTATCTAGTCTTTTTGTACATAATTTTCATTAGTAAATTATGTAGATATGTAGTTCATTATTTAGAGAGAGTAGAGTAGAGTCCTAGAGTTCCAGGAAATCAAAAATAGCACCTTGTATAACTTTGCACTACATATGTCAGAAAATTTCTAGAGATTCCTACTCGGGTCGCGTATGCACAAGAATTGTAGAGCAGGCGGTCAGCAAAAGTAAAGACTTTTGCTGCATGTGCGAATGTAGAAATCACCAAGAACTGATCCAATACTATCACGATCAAGTATACAATATCAAAACCGAACATCATGAAATCATCATGACACTGATAATGACTGACTCTACATGTTACTGTGTTTGTCAAAGATTTAACATTAGAGTCTTGATACTGTTGCACTAGCACCTATCTCATGTAGCTTTATCAATGAAAGATAAAATCATTTAAATTATAATGAAACTAAAGCAATTCATTAATTGTTTGTAATACCTACTGTAAAACTGAAACACAAAGAGGAGAACAAAGTAATAGAGCCAAATTGTTATATTATTTTTGGCACAAACACAAGACAGTCACGTCATAATAGAACAGCAAAAACAATGTACTACCTACTCTAATAAATTAAGGACATTGACCTTTACCTAACAACTACTGTAATACGACAGGTAAATTATTTTTTCAATAATATAATCACAACCTGTTATAATAAGTGCTTAATCAGATGTACTACTATTTGTCGCTTATCGCTTACAAAATGTTTTTAGTGGCATTAAGGTTATCAAATACATCTCTATGTTTATAGACATCGTAAAAATCTTTGGAGCATTGATCTCGAAACTTGTAGTAATTACAACGTATTGTTACAATTACAATCGTTTCTTATCAAATGACCGTGTATCTTGCTGATAGCATCAACTATGTGAAATTTTGGCCTAAAAAAAGCGAGAGTACTGACAATACCTATAATATTTGATAGGAGAGAACAACAGACGTCTGTTCAGCGCTGCTCTCGGTAAACGACTGCCACAACTTTTTTTCGCTATCGCCTCTCGCAGATCGACCTTCTCAAATATTTGACTTGAGAGTGTGTCGTGAGCCACGTTTATCTGCGGTCTGCAGTCGAGCCGACTGTCGCTAATGTCCTGTTATCATTATCTCATGTGAACGCTTAACTTTAATACTCCTTATCCAGCGGGTGGAGTAATATAATGCACGTTTTTGTTACTATCATCAACTTGATTTTTTGCAGTTCGACACCCACGTCGAATGACGCTGCCGGACAAAAAGCTTAATTTGAAATAATCAATCATTGGTAATTATAGCTGTATACAATTACACCGTGGGCTCTATTGCGTGCATGAGAAATGCAGTAATTGATTAAGAAGTGCGCTCTGGCCTCTTGACAATTGACCGTGAGCAGCGACAACCATATAATGTGCTTACACATTAGATTTATTTATTCAGTTACGCTCATTACTTACCGCGGTTAGCGTGTATGTTAGAGCAATTAGATAAATTGCCTTCATTCACATTTGTCAGATTGTAACAAATCAACGTAATGATACGAAACGAATCGCTCCCAGGCATTTATTATTAGATTAAAAAAACTCGCTGGGAAATGATGACCTATTTTTTACTTAATTATCTAGACATGTTAATTTATTATATTGCTCTTCCGGCAGAATATCACAATTACAGTTTTTCTCAAAAGAAGCTAATTGTGAATTTATTCTACCGGATGAACGATATGTCTGAATCAAATTAAAATCTAATTAGTCCCAATACATTATAACTTTATAAGTCATCAAAAGCCTATCGAAACCTTGGCCTGAGTTTATTATTGATTTCGACACCTCCTTATGAGGTTGATTGGAGAGACTAAATGACTTATGATGATTGATGGCTTTATCGCGAAAGCTGTTATTAAGTTGCGGGGACATGATAAGCGCTGCAGCGGCCTTGAGCGCTGTCTGAGGACCGACTGTTTCGACGAATACGAACATAAATCTTCGTAAGTCCTGTCACTCCCTCTCGGACGCAGTCGCGAAGATTTAATCTCGTTTATGCCACTCTTTACGCCGATTCACGGAATTGATCAAACGTAGGTAAATTAATCTATACTAAACTCGTCTTAATAATCCAAATAGCCAGAAACGTAGCCACATTTGAATTCGTAATAGCCGCATGAATATTTATATTTGTCTCAATTTAATTTAACGATATTACACGACATATCTTCAGATTATGGACGACACGATTTTCCAAAACATTTCGGGTTTATGAACACGGAGCAACAACAGCCGGCAATGTTGACATCAAAGTTTCTAAATTGATAATAGCGTAACATAATTACGTCGTTCATTATTTGTGTTGGATACAAGACTGAGTTAGACACGCTGTTGGCGGGCGGCCGAACAAGCCGCCTGGAGTGGATATAATAAATATTCCTGTAGCTATTACTGAACTTTTTCAGAACAACTTATCACTCAGACTGACTAATGTTGATTTTTTCCAACATGAAAAGATATATTTTCCTTCGTGAATGCGAGTGAGGTTCGGCAAGGTTAACGACTAAATTCGCGAGCAGCCATTAATTTAGAGCTTTTTAAATTTGGACTACGGTGGAAAATTTACTCCTTCCTAACCAGACTACATACTTTTCAGTATTATTACTTGAAATATTGCACAAATGCAAACAATACTGAAAGTAAACCACCAAACTTTACAAGAGGCTATAAGCTCTTTCGTCAAAAGGAGCTTTTGCCACATTTTATCGTAGATACAAGTAAAATGAATTTCTAATCTACAGTCTTAACAACATTCTTGTCCCAAATAGTGCGTAGATTAATCACGTAAAGTAGGCACTCACGTGCAATAAGGACTTTTAAATAAACATTTAATTTTGTGCAATCGTAAAACCTACCAATTCATAAAACTATCATACTAATATCAATTTATGAAGACATCCAATTATAATTGCAAAATATATCATGATTATAAAGTGAAGTATTACCAAACTGGATATATTACCTACGCCTGGGTTTATTAGATTTTATGCATGTTAATGATATTGCGTTGCAAAATTGAAGTACCTAATGTGTGAATCTGAAACTTGCCTTACACTTGCTTAGACATCAGAATTTTTTTCACGCATCTGCTAATACAACTGTTTGTTACTTAATATTGATATTTTACTATTACTATTGTCACTTTAGAATTAATAGCGCCTGTGCGAAAACATATTTCAGCTAGTTTGTGTGCATGACTGTACTAGCCAGTGGCCAGCCCTGGTGAGTCAAGAAAATTGCACAGCGCAAAGGCTTTTAGGTACCAGATAAAATGTACTGATTAACTCCAATTAATTACGCCATAACTTATTACGTATCACATAATCACGACGGCAACAGCTTTGTGCATAATTCAAACACTAAATTCATTTAGCTGGTTCTGGTAATAAGACTAGGCATGTAACTCAACGTAAAATTTAAATTGCTAAACTTAACGATATTGAGGGAATTTACTCGGCTGTTTACGGCAATCGTAATGGTATGAACACAGCCTAACGATTTCGAGTATCCTAATGAGCTTTTTATTTCTTCATAACTTCGTACCGAAACGATAAAGTTAGCGCTTCCCGTATTTTTTAGTTAGTCTGCAAAAAGTTGTAAAATTTAATTTTAGTTGGCAGCAGAGTTCATTCATGGAATTGTAATTAAATATGTTTTACACCTCGCTCAAAATCAGAATTTTCCTTAGCCTAAGTTATCCTAATACGCAAGCTTATGCAAATTGAGAGTTCTCATGAAGATTTCCGTGTTTAGAATGAAAATCCATTCATCTACATTATGATGTTTTAATTATTGAGTTAGATGAATATTATAATTTATCTTAAACATTAGCCATAAATAAGTAGCTATCTCAGTTTCTATCTTATTTACGACATGCGTTTACCGACTAATTTGGGCAAAGGAGAGACTAATTCGTTTGTTTGTGTCTGGAGCGCATGCGCCGCCGAGGATCAAAGGTGCGCACGCAACGATGTTATACACCCTAGATGTAACACACTTAAAGCTCAAAACATGACCCGGAAAAAGAGTGCGTAAGTACCTACACTTTTACTCACAGTCGCGAGCGAACCAACGATGATTCAATACGCCGAAAAGCTCTGTGAAAATTTCAAACAAACATTTAACTGCTAGTTCTAAAAAGAATCGGGTGAAGTTTTTCCTGTAATTAATAAAAATTAGAGCCAATATTTCTCATTGTGCGAAAAGGCATAAATTATACTAGCTTTACAGAAAGCTAAAAAAAATTTTTAGGAAAAGTCACAACTACTTAATGATTATTTTAATATCGTACCTGTGTTCAAAGCTTATTTTAGGATACTGAACGATTATTTAATTTGGTAAATAAACAAATACCATTTTTCTCATGTACTTGTTCACTACTTTTGAGATACTTTTCAGTCGAAATTTTATGTGCTGGTGCATCTAGAGTATTCTGCATCTATGTGCGCACGCCACGGAAGTGCCGAGTTTCGCGTGCAATCGCTTCGCGGAAGCGATCCTATCTCGCGTGTGAAACACGCACTAGCTTACC